TAACGCCTAAAATGAAATTTTTAAGCTCAAGACCATCCAATGTAGCCTAAAATGATTCCAAATGAGCCATTCTAGTAGCTAGGTGTAACACATACTGATTCTGTGACCTATCAATTTGCCACCTGAGCTTTATTAGCTCCCCAAATATGTTATCATAACTCTTAAACTCCATTTTTCACTAGCAGTGTCCTCTTCTTAATAGGTAAGTCTCTTGTCTTGATGTTACTAGGGCTTTCTTCATCTCTAGGTCTGGCCTTGACCTCACTTGGACCTGCCTCACCAGGATTAGATCTAGGTCCCACAACACTCTAAGCATCATCTTGTAGCTCTCCTTCTTTGATCTTGTTGGAGACTACACTGGACTTTGTCCTAACTTTGAGCCTGTCATAGTATCCAGGAAAAGTTACAGGATCCTCCTCTGGTACTAGCCATCTAAGGAACCACTAATCAGGAAAATCCTCTCCTGGTATTCTCTGATTCATGGTACCCCCTGACTTGTTGTCTTCACAACATGCCATTACTATTCCTGCACTTAAATCATTTTATAATACACAATCCACAAATATGTATATATCACATGATCAAGTTCTAGATACACAGCAAACAGTAACATAATGCAACAAATAGCACTCTAGAACCTAGCTCTAATACCAAAAATAGGACACGTTATTTTTACACCTCATTTTTACCTCCATTAGAACTATTTAGAATCATTTCTTATGGCCTTAAGTTGGAAAAATTTGAACTTTAAAATTTCATAAATTTGGGTTACTATTTATTATAACCCTAACAAAGGGCAAACTTTAAAAATTCATAACTAATTCTAAAAATATTGAAATGAAGTGGTTATAAGTTTCATTTAAAGCTTTTAATGTGATATTTAAGGAAAAAAGTACTCATTGGTATCCAAAATTCACCAATTACTCCCAAAATTCACATAAAGTAGTATTGTTCATATGGCTATTTTTCAATTTTCTAGAATTTATGCCCAACTTTGAAAAAACATAACTTTTTACGCAAAACTTCAAGTTTAATGAAATACCACTTGTTTTAAAGCTAAAATTATGATTTATAAGTCTACCAAATTTCAACCAAATTCTTAATCAATTGCACAAAATCTCCTTAGTGAAACTTTACCCTTAAAAAGTCAACTTTTAATTCCTTTAATTGCCATTCTTGGTTATTATCCCCTTTTCAATCCATATAACCATTCCAATCACATAATCCATGCCAAAACATGATTTCTTAATCAAATATTAATATGCATACCACTCTTTGATCATTAATACAAATATTCAACATAATCCACAATAATCCATAATAATTCATAATAATTATAAACATTATTTCTTGCAAAATGCCTATCAATCCAAGCATAAACACTATTACTTCACATTGAACTCAATTAAACCCTTTTTTTCTTGATTTTTGACACAATTATTTTCTTTTTGTTTCAATCAATCTCTTAGGCCATTCCTTCATAATTCTTCATGTAGAATCCAAATATCAAATCAGATTTAACAAAATCATACTTCACCCTTCAAGCTACTTTAGCCGAAAAGGGTAGGTTTAAGTTTCAAAATTTTTATTTTTGATTCTAATGATTTTAAACACTTTTCCTTGGTGTTTCTCTATACAAAAATACCTTTTAAACTCATTGGAATCATCAAATCACATTGAAACAATCTTGGACATCAAAATTACGTAGTGGCCGAAATACCTCCTGTGAACCATAACTTTGGTTTTCTTCCAAAATTCAATCCAAATATCAATTAAACATGCAATTCCAAGCTCATATTCATGATTTTTATCCTTCCCTGATACTGCCTCATGATGACCAAAAATGGGCAGCACAGCACTAAGGATTTGTCATGAAATTTTAATCAAAACAACCCTTAAATATAACCAAAATCAAGCTTAGATATACCTGGATGGATCCTTGCTTGAAGCTTGCTGATTTTTCTTTAATATAGAGGGCTTTAGATGATGTTTAAAGGTGAGTTTTCAATTTGACAGAATTTCACCTAATTTTCCTATTTTTGCCAAATTTAGTATATTTAGGAGGTATTTATAGAGCTCTAGATCTGACCCCAAGCCCTCCAAAATAGCATCATCTCCTGCCACCTAAGGGGCCATGCATCCCTTATATATGCTCCAACATTCAACTCAAGCTAAGTGTCCCTTCTTCTAAGTTTTTCTTTTGAATTTTGGGCCTCAATTGGGCTTGAACTCTTTGGCAAGAGGAGATGTGGACTGCACAAAATTTCTGGGCCCTCTTAGCCCAATATGAAGCCCAAAACATACTTAAAAAGGGCCAAGAAGTATGGCCCAATCATAAATATTAATTTCTAACCAAAACTCACTATTTCAGTTACTATTTTCAAAAATAGTTTTGGCCCTCCAAAAATTCATTTCTATCCATAAAAAATCCTCTTTTAATATAGGAAAGTCCCCTAAAAAATTTTAGAATTTATCTTAACCTTTATTTATTTTGAATTTTCTCTAAAATCGGGCTTTATCAATAAGATTTTAGTGATAAATATTCTAAAATTAATTCCCGCTCTTTTAGGACCTGAAATTAATTTTATAAATTCAAATAAATCCTTAAATAATTTTTTCATATTTGTTTGGGAACTATTGAGGCCTCTACATAATAAAAATAATCATTTTTGCTTAATTTCCACATTTTTTTCCCGAAAAAACTCTATTTCCAGGTAATTTTGTGATATGTTATTTTCTTGCCAATTCCACCTTCAGGACCTTAATTAAGGTTCCAGAACCTCTAATTTACCTTTATACCATTTTTCAACAATTTTTTTAGAATTTTGTTTTCAAATTTCCTCATTTTTCCCTTCCTGGACCAATAATTTCAAAAATATCAGTTTGAACCCTATTTGGGTTTTATGTCATGCCTGGCTTTGTCAGCTAATCTACCTTTCCTATTAGCCCTTAACTTAATTTTTCACACCCATTGTTAGGGTTAAATTTTGTAGGACGTTACACCTTTCCCCTTAACTCAACTTGGCTGAATAGAATGTTAAAGGGGTGCTTAATTTTATTTTTGATTCTAATGATTTTAAACACTTTTTCTTGGTGTTTCTCCATAAAAAATCACCTTCTAAACTCATTGGAATCATCATATCTTAGTGAAATAATTTCTAACATCAAGAACCAAAAGTGGTTGAGAGGTATCCTTAATGTCATAACATAGGATTGCTTTCAAAATTCAATCCAAACATCAATCAAACATACCATTCCAAGCTTATATTCAAGGTTTATATCCTTCTCTGATCCTTTCCTAATGTGACCAAAATTATGGCAGCATAATAGTCTAGGATTTTGCCATGAAACCTTAGCCTAAGCAACCCTCAAACATAACTAAAATCAAGCATGAACATACCTTAATGAATTCCTAATTGAAGCTTGATGATTTCCTCTTGATTGTCCTTGACTTGGCCAAAATGGGGCTCATATGAGGGGGTATCTATAGAGCTCTTGGGATGGTCAAATCCCCTTCTATGTGGCCTAAAAATCTGCCACCTCAAGGGCTATGTGTCCCCTCTCACAACCTTCCATCTCTAGGTCATGCCAAGTGTCCATTTACATGTGATTTTTCATGGTTTTCTTGGGCTTGTTTTGGGCTTAAACTCTTCTTACATGGGGGACTATGGGCTGCACAAAATTACTATGTTTCATTGGCCCAAAATCATCCTAAAACTGATTGGAAAGAAAGGGGAAATGTGGTCCAATTATAAATTATCAATTTCAAATTAAAAATTACTCTATCGGTTGCTATTTCCAATAATAGTTCTGGGCCTCTAAAACCTCATTTTCCTTCATCAAAAATTCTCTTTTAATGTAAAAAGGTGTCATGAATTTTTCTAGAATTTATTTCTTCCTTTAACCTCCTATATTGAATTTTTGCCGAAATGGGGTTTTACCGATAAAGTTTCATTACTAATTATCTAAAAATAATGTCCTTCACATCCTAAGACCAAAGATAATTTTAAAATCCATAAAAATATGCTAAATAATTTTTTTATTTTTTTTCTGAAAATCATTGAGGTCTCGAGGTAGCTCAAATAATTAATTAAAGCCAAAAATCCCTATCCAGTCATAAAATACTGATAAATCTTAAAAATTTGTAATAAATTATTTTCATCCCTTTTTCACCTCTGAGACCTCACATACTATTCTAAATCCTCAATTCTCCATTATTTTTGGAAATTTTTTTAATTTTTCTGACACTCCTCTGTGGTTTGTCCTACCTATACCAGATATTATGAAAATATGAGTCCGGATCTTGTTAGGATTTTATGTCATGAATAGCTTTATCTGTTAGTGTACTTTACCCATTATCAGGGTTAAAATTTATAGGACGTGACACTAGAAACGACCGTAATTTGAAGAACCAATACCATAGGTTTTAAATTTCAAGAACCATACCAAAATGGACGCAAATTTGAGGAACCAAAATTTGCATTAACCCCATATCCTTGTCTAAAAGCTCTACTATGAAAAATGATATTTTTAACTAATGCTAATTATTGATTCTTTAAAAAAAAAAATTGCCTCATCCATTGTTGCGCACACGTCGGCAGTATGATAATTTTTTATTATTTTAGTTAAAGAACTTCCAATGTGGACACCACTGCCCCTCCGCACGCTCCATTATTGGGAGACAACATGTGTTGGGAAGACTTGACTTTAGAATATAAAATTTCAATTATAAAGGTAGACTAAGCTTTGTAGAATTATTAATGGAAAACCAACAAAAAATTCGACAGATACAAAATGACATATGCACAGAAAGCTATATAATTTACAAGCGGTGAATATACTATAGCACATTTGTCAAAATTTATGTACCCTGTGGACCTATGTATTTAGTTGCCAACTAAAATAAGTAGATTATATACAAAGATCCATTTATATACTTCCACCACCAAGGAAATCAATTAAGCATAAGCATTGCTGTCACATTGAAACAACCACCATAATTTAATTAGAACTCGAGTGATTCGTGCATAAATCATGTGACTCACAAACATCGATGCAATTATGATACAACAAACACATAACATATGTATAAGTTGTTACATAAAATTTCAGCGGTTTGATCTTGTCTTCTTTTAAATTGGGAACGGAGGGATGCTTTGTTCATGCCTAAAGAAATTATTTGGATCAACCTTAGACTTCACGTTCGCCAACCTTATATAGTTATCCTTGAAGTACTTGTATCCCCAGAGGCTTGATCTCAGGAAGCTTGTTTTATAAAACTGGTTCGTCCCCAAATCAAGGTCTCTGTAATTCACATAAGCTTCTCTTGGAAAGCTTGAGACATGATGCTTCATGGAGTAATAGAATCTATCAATCCAATTCATGTGCTTTTCCATGCTCTTCTCTCCGTCTAGCCACCCTGTTACATATTGTATCTTGAAGAGTGTTCCATTTCTATGCGGAAATGGAGTTGCAGATTCTGGGATTTTGCTCATCATTCCTCCATATGGATTCCAAATCATCAAAGGCCCATCTTCTTCCAGAAAAACTTTCCATAGAGAATTCAAAGCAGCTTCAGGAATGACTTGCCTCGCAAAATCTGACTTGGCCTTGAAGTATGCCTTGGAAGTGGATTTCCCCTGGAGAAGAATTTTTGGGGGTGTGTTGTTTGGATAGCCAGCAATATAAAGCACAGATTTGATCCAACTCATTTCCAAACAATCCGTTTTGCTGAGACCTAATTCTGGAAAATTTTTCTTCATCACTTGGAGAAGCTTATTGGCCCTACCTAGAAAAAGAGAATTATATGAAGTTGAAACAGTTCTTTTACCCGCAACACTAGAATTTGTTACCTGAATCAGTACTCTCAAGAACAGATTGTGATCAATGTTTGGTGCCACTTGCTGCCATTTATGTAGAATTTGGTTTGCATTTTGTTCTAAAGTTTTGGTAACCGTAAAGACCGTTACAGTGGGTGGAACTTTTACAAGTTTGATTTGCCACCACAAGATAATCCCAAAGCTCCCACCTCCTCCACCTCTAATGGCCCAAAATAAGTCCTCTCCCATGGTTGATCTGTCAAGGATCTTGCCATTAGCATCCACAATTCGCGCGTCAATCACGTTGTCGGCTCCAAGGCCAAACTTTCTCATCATAGAGCCATATGCACCACCTGTAATGTGACCACCAATGCCTAAGCTCGTGCAGAGGCCAGCGGGGAAGCCATGGACTTGACTTTTCTCTGAAATTCTGTAGTAAACTTCTCCAATGGTTGCACCAGCTTGAATCCAAGCCGTGTTTCGTGCTATATCAACATGGATGGCACGAAGTTTGGAGAGATCTAAGACCATGAATGGCTTTTCTATAAGAGAAACATATGAAAGCCCTTCATAGTCATGACCTCCACTGCGCACTCTCATGTGGATCTTGAGGATTTTTGCACATATGACAGCTACTTGAACATGAGAATCCTCCAAGGGAGTGAATATGAATTCAGGTTTTGGCATTGAAGGCAGCAAGTACCTTAGATTTTGGGCTGTGGATTCAAGGACTGAAGTGAAAGAAGCATTGTTTGGAGTGTAAAATGATGTCGGAAATGGGATTTGATTACGAGATTTTGCTTGAAGACAACGAGTGAATCTTTCTTGACTTGAAAATGAAGTAGTTGATGAAACTAGAAAGAAGGAAAACGCAAGAATCACCAAGAATAGCGAACTTGGAGACCCCATAGTTTTAGGAATTCGCTGTGGCTTCTTCTATGCAGAGAAATGCATTTTCTGTCTGCTTATATACACTGAACTTGATGCCAGTTTATAGTGGCGATATACGTGTAATTTAGCTAATACAAGCGTCATCTTTAAGAAGGAACATTGATTGATTTAGTGGAGGACATTTTTTCTTTATTTTTATATTGTTTTGACTAAAAATCTGTTGGAAGAGTTGACATTATGACAGTGTGGAATATTATTATTGCCGCAAATTTCTATTCCCACAAAGCAAGTGGTACTCCTCTGATTCTTAATATAGGACCTAATTGTTGAGTTAGTTTTGGTCCTAAATATAAGACCCATTTCTCATATTTATCATTTTTTTTTAAATTACCCTCATAGATACTCTCTCAACCATAATCAAGAAAAAGAAGAGGGAGTATTAAGAAAGATGATTATGGTATTTTAGGAAAAACGTGTCACATTTCTTATAATTAATTAACTTATCTCACTTTCTTAATCTAATCAAATTACTTAAATAAGTCTTATATTAAGAATCAGAGGAGTATTATTTATTTGCTGTGTCCGCAAGAAATTTTATTCTTTCAGGGATTTTTCCCCCCTAACACTACCTTAATGTGTGGCTGACCCAAGATCTAGAATTCCACTGCATAAAGCCATCCATTATTACATGAAGCGACTGTAAAAGCTTATGGAACAGAAAAACAAACGATAAAGCAATATGTAAAGCATATATTCTGCAATATATATAATATTTAGAAGGAAAAATATATTTGAGAACTCATATTTTAAATATATAGATTAAAGAATATATGAAGTTATAACTCTTCGCTGCGATGAAAAATTAAAATCTCAAGCAACTTCAATAATAATTTTCAGAAGACTGAATAATAATTTTTCAAAATAAGAGCATTAATTTTTTTAAAAGTATGATAAATTTGGGTCTTAGTAAAAATTTAAAAACTTTGAACATCATTTAACCTAAAATTTTATATAAAATATGATGAATTTTAAGACAATAATGGAAATAATCAAGGATGTGTGTGCGTTACAAATAAAAGCCGGACAAGAGGGAATGGGCCATCCAAGGCTGTGCCGAGCCTAACGTTTGTGAGTCCATGGCCACTTCAGATATTTCTTGCTCATTTTGCATAACTCTTCCTATTTCCACTAAAATTTAGACAGTAGAAAATGGAAAAGAAAAATATTTAGACAATTTAAATAATCACAATTTTACCCCAAAAAAATTTAAATAATCATAATGAAATATAGGGGAATATAAACTTCATTGAAAAGTCACGTGTCTGATTTGTAATCTCAAATGATTATTACATGCAAGTCCTTGTAATATTATCACATCTTGTTAATTTTAACAATAAAAATGGGGAATATAAAATAAATTAAGAGTTAAGCAGTGTAGTAGATAGATAGATGAAATAACTTTTGAACTAAAACTTGAACAAAGATCGGACTATCATTTTCAAAATATCCGGTCAAGATAGACCAGACTGGAAAATTATATCAGAAATTCTAAAATATTTTTAAAAAATTCATGAAAAATGGAACAAAGGGCCTAGAATAGTACTTAATTCCTGCAAGATAAAAAAAGTATAAAAATAATTTATTTTAAATTTTCTATATTTTCAAAGAATTTTGGCTAATTAAGGAAAAATTAGACAAATTTAATTATTTAAAATATATAGGGGCATCAATAATTTATGAATATATTAGAAAAAAAAATATTTGAGAGGTTATTATGAATTTTAAAATTATTTTTAGCCTCTGGAGATGTAGAGGTTAGCTTTACAATATTTAAAATTATATTGATAAAAGGCTGATTTTGAAAAAAAATTAATTGGAGGAGTTATAGGCCAAAACAAAATATGAGAAAATTAGAGAAACCTCTCTTCACTAAAAAGAAGCTATTGGCATAAGGAAATAAATTTTTGGAAGCAGTGAATTTAACAAGATCTAAGAAAAATTCAACTGATATTTGTGAGACTATACAGTGTAATAACTATAAGCTTGGTGGGATCAAATTTTCTCCTATTTTTCTGGTTAGTTTAGTGCCAAATGAGGAGGCAAAGGGTCCAAGTAGAATAATACAATTTTGTTGAAGGTTAGACTTAGAAGAATGGAATTATGAATTAAAAATAGTGATTTTTCCCGCATGTATGTTTAGGCGTCCCAAGAGGTGGCATCTTCATTCAATGGGAGGACACCTAAGGATACATATGTGGTGAAATCTTTAGGAAGGAGAATGCAAGATGAAGTCAAGGGTACAAAGGTTAAAATGGATGGTAATTAAAGTTAACACATAGTAAGAATTTGAGTCAATTTCACATATACCCCTTCTCCTCTTTAGCCAAATTTTTGGCCAGCTTAGAGCAAGGGAGAGTTGAACACTTTGGTTAAGAGAGAAGGAAGGAGAAGGAGGAGAAGAACAAGTACCATAGCTAGACGTCCATTGGAACTTGGTCAAGTGAAGATTTCATCCATGAGTAGCTAGTTTCCTTATTCTTCTCACACAGTGGCAATGGCTTGAGATTAGATCAAATTAGGGGAGTCTCAACCGATTAAATCTCTTCTTTTTCATTCTCGAGTAATTCTTAGGTCTTAAGAATGCTATTTGATATGCCGATGGATTGTATTAGGTTACAGTTATATTAGAGATTTAATTGTGTATCTTTGGATTTCAAGACTTATGTTTAGCATTTAAACTTCATATCTTCAATCCTTTGTAATTGACTTGGTATAGCTATTGCTGTGGATTTGTTGAGACTATCTAATAGCAATCTAAGGTGGCTTAATTGTCAGATTTCTTTATGTGTTGAATGCAATTCTTGATTCTAATGTTGGTTGTGCTTAATCAAACTAATTATGGTTAATTCATATTCAAGGTGGCTTGGTATGTGTTAATCCATTTAGGTCTAGACTAAGAGGTAGCTCTTAGTGTCTTAATTGCTAGCTAACTCCCAAATCATTTAAAGTGAGGAAGCCCAAGTCATTATGAGAGAGGAACATCCATTTCATTGTTAAATTCTTTGTTTAATTTCTGTCATTCACTCAAAACAACCATCTTATTTGATTATAAAGGAGAAAACTCATAAACAAGTCATTTGCATTCATTTAGAAGTAGACAACAAACCCCCTAAAGTTGCAAAACTTGCATACAGTTTACCTAAGAAATCATTTTTATTTCACCTCCCAAAAGTGATATGACTGGGATTGTGCCACTATATTGCATATCTCTTTCTGGTTATTTGTTTTGAACCCCTAAGGCAACTAAAGGGAGTTATCATTCCTATAAGGTGGCATCTCATTGAATGGGAGGACACCTAAAGGGGCATACATGGTGAAATCTTAAGAGAAGAGAATGCAAGATGAAATCAAGTGTACCAGGGCTAAAATGGATGAAAATTAAAATTCCCACATGGTGAGAATTTGAGCCCATTTTATATATACCCCTTTCTCTTCTCCTTAGCCAAATTTTTGGCAAACTCAAAGCAAGGGAGAGCTGAGCACTTCGGTCAAGAGAGAAGAAAGGAGGGGAAGAAGAACAAGGCAAACTGAGGTGGATTTATGTCCTAAATCAAGGTAAAAGCTTACTTTTCCTTCCTAGTCTAGGAAACTCTATTGATAGTTTTAAATATGAGTTTGATAAGGTATATGATTCGCCTTTAATCGCATAGGTAATCAAAAACACTAGGAGAATTAGATGTGTAGTGTAAAGATGCAATCTAGATGTCGAATCACTTTGTCAATTAACTCCATTATTCTCTAATTAGTATGGTTAATACAAATTAATTTGTGGAAAATTATAGTGAACCAAATAATTTCTGCTAATATGGAAATAAATCTTTTTTTTGGTTGTTTTGAAGTTTCGGAACTTTAGAGTAGTAAATCAAAAATGAGAATGAGAGTAGAAGTAGAGCAGATATCTCAATCAAAATGCAATTCTCCCAAGAGCTTTCACCTTACCATCATTACTTCCATAAAATATGGAGTTGAATGCAATCAAGAGTGCAAAAGAGCTAAACATTCTTAAACAAACAGGACTACTTTTTTATTGAATCAGTCAATCGAATCACAATCATCTAATTCACAAAATTAAAGTGACTGATTTACTCAAACTCAGAATGCAATACTCAGCCCCCTTACAAAATCCAATTACACTACATTCATTATCAAAGGTGAAGCAGAGCACATCTAAAAGAATTCTCAATCATTCTATAACTAGCACATAAATTGAGAAATGGAAGAGATGAAATGAATATAAACTTCCTACATCTTAACGGTCCAGTAGCTCAGGATTGGTATCCGCTCTTGGAATGTTGATATGGGGGAACGTATAGACTAGTTAGAATCAAGTAACGAACAGACAGTTGATCTAGGTAGGACCTTAAGAGAACTTGTCTCTTACAACCTTGGCCATGAAGACACCATAAGGTTGATCAATCCCTTGATACTATCGAGTATTCTCATGAGAATACAAGGATGCAAGCAAAGCTCACATAGAGAGAACTAAAGTCAATTCTTATTCATCCAATCTGCATTTCAATTACAAAAACGTAGCTTATAAATAGGCAACCATAGAACACTCTAAAATCAGCATCTTAAGAAATAAATGATAGGGATAATGCATTATTAATGATTATTTGACTATGGGAGGCACTATTTGTTAGATAGAGATAAAAGGAAATAACTTAAACTTCAAGAACAAGTATGCTATTTGAAAATAGGAAACTTGATCAGAACATAATCTTCTAGAACAATCCTTGACCAAAAGGCCTTATTCAAAGCAAATAAAAAAAAAGAAAACTTGTTAAAAATGAATTTAAATCATAATTAATTCATAATGATGCCTTCTTGATCCTTCTTGAATGTTTTTGGATGTTACTTATGATCTTTGTCTACAGCACATGCTTATCACATGGTATTTTAAGTGAATTCTTCAATTTGAACTCCACATGTGCCCTGCACATCATTTGTTAGGCTTCTAGAAATG